CATTGGGCACCACAGTCAGAGTAACACAAAGTGGACTGATACCCCAGGCTTTTGTTGGAGTGGGAAGAGTTTTTACCTCTGTGGTCATCCAGGGTAGTGTTCCCCCACATGTATCTCTTGAGTGTTTGAAATGTGTAAGTACAAATTATGCTATGTACTGTGGGTTTCAGAGACTTAGTAAAAGAATAAATTTCACATTTTAAAAGGGAGTACAAGTTGAAATAGTGATTTTTGTATGTGTAGTTAAATATTGTAATGAAACCCATTTGTTTATTTATTTTTTTAGTGTGGCTAATAAATTATTTAAATTGCACAAGTGTCTTGCTTTATATCTTTCTGGGACAACATTGTCATATAGCTTGCAGAGGATTTCTTCTTACTATTATTATAATTTTGGGGACAAGGTAGGGGCACCCCATCAGTGGTGGTAATGAAAGTTAAAGCCTGATGCACTGATCAGTTGTAGATAAATTTGTATCTGGTTAGAAGCATATGTAAATTTCAGGTGATTAAGTTTTACTTAATCTTTAAACTTTTAAACTTTAAACTTTTAAACTTTACTTTGGAAGATAAAATATCTAGGTCCAGTACTTTAGAACTGATAGAATATTGATGATCTAGGCTGTTGAAATATTTTCTGTGGTCTCTTGTTTTCTGAGTTATGGATATCCTAGATTCCCAAATATCTATAGATTCCTGCTTGCATGTAGCAACAGTAAAAAAGAATACCTTATGAAGAAATAAATATTTATGGAATATGCTGTTTGATCAATACTGTGGGAATTAATGAGACTAACTTTGGTCTTAGCTCCCTTTTCTGAAATAAAGACATCTGCGTTGCTTATGCCTGCACTAGCCTGCAAGAAGGAGAAAATGAACAGTGTGAATAATAATTAGTATAGACATAATATTCAATGATGCAGGAATTCTAGGAGATTAGTTTTGGCAATGAATTCTAAATGAAAGGACTTGATTTCAAGCATGCTTTTAAATTAAGTTTTTATTAAAATGTAATTTAATTTGAAAATTCATCATATTGTCAGTAAATTTTAAAAGTCTTTATATTAAAGTGCCTCTTCTTTTGCTGTTATTCACAAATGTTCCATACTTCACAGCTATCTCCATGTCACATCTATAGTGGTATTCAATGGCTTTCTTCTTGGTTAATTATCCTGCATTTGGCAATAGCAGAAAAAAAAAAAACTCTCATAACATGGGAGTGTCTCTGTCAATCCATGAGCAGCGTGACTTAAGTTGCCTTGAACCTTCTCCTATAGTGAGCTCAAGAGAAGAAGTCGAAATGCCTACTGACTTATGAAGTGAAAGAATTAAGTTTGAATTTCATAAAGACAAGGGACTCTCAGTGATTCCAGTAGGAGGGATATATCGTTGTAAGAAAGGAGACATGGTATGTGGGGCTGAGTTTTTTTCCTACAATTGGAAAACATGCCACCATTGCCAGATAGTATAGCAGAGACAGATGGCACGGCAGCTGCTGTGAAAGAAAAATGCCTTACTACTAGGTGAACCATGAAAAATAACAAGAAGGACGGAAGGAAAAGCACACAAGCTCCCCTCTGCTGTCACATCTTCCCATCACCACAGAGTGTCTAATTGTATTCCGTCAGGTGGCAGATTGCAGAAGAAGCAACTTCCGATTCTCTCCACATTTGGAACTTGCCACCGTTGTCTTGACAGAGCTTGCTTTCTGTCTTTGGCTTTTTGGCAAGAATGGGAGGGGAATGGGTAGCAATGACTAATGGGATACATGGTGCCCATATATGGTAAAGAAGGTGCACAGACCAATCTTTTTCTGGCTCAGTTGGTTGCAGTTTGAGATGCAGAATTGGCCGAAACTCATCTTGGCTTATTTTAGATACACCCCCAATTAACACTGATTCATGCTACAGATCACATAAATGGGACATTTTAATCAAATTTAAATGGAAGTTATTTAAAAATGTGACTTAGAGATACCCAAAGTGGGCACATACATGATCTCGACATTTGCATAGTTTCTGGCTAGAAGCTGTCCTGTGTTCCATGTTGGTTCTTTTATTCCACTCCCTTGAGTAGTCAGCAATGGCGAAGGGCTAGTGGTGCCATGGCTGGGCTGCCTCAGTAGGGAAATGCTTCAGCTTCTCCAGTGAAAAAGAAATGTGCCAACCCCATATATTTGGAAAGGAATGGCTAATGAATGAAGATCTACAAATGCTGAGGCCCTGTAGTTTTCATATGTATGTAGTTAAACAATGTCTGCTTGGTAATTAATTACTGTTGTATAACTACAGCAAATACAAATGATTCAACCAAATTGTGATGTACTGAGGCAATAAAAGCATGTGAATATATATATATATATATATATAATATATATATATATATTATATATATTTTCTGGCTGTTATTTAAAGAAATTGGCTGGGTGAATTTCCGAAGATGTTTTTGCCATTTTCTCTAGAAGTTGAATAAAGGCTGTAGAGTTACAGTGACTAACAGTCACTGAAGGGTCACAAAGGGTAGTTAGGCATTGTTTTAAGAAACACTAGTCATCCCCCAAGGGAGACCTCATTGTGTATGTACAACTTTTACTTATACACATACATAGGATTTACCATCATCGTCAGCACCAAAGTTGGCATAGAATCTAGAAGCAACTCAAGTGTATCCCCCATCCCTGAATTTGAGGAGCTAATGTTCCCAATTCACCTGGCAGGCCTTGTCTCTCTACTTCCTTTTTCTCTCTATTTCCCAGAGAAGCACTCTCCTCTGTCAGAGTAAAGCAGAAAGGACTAATTGTAAAATCTGTGCTGCCAGCACCAGAATTCTACTCTGGCATTTCTTTGACCTACAAATAAGTAATTATAAACTACAAATGATTGTGTGAGTTTAGATACACATTTTCAGAAAGCTAGAGCAAGCTATATGGAAACCATCTGAATTTGTGTCAAGTCCTCATGAGAACTGCCTGAAAAGCATCTCCACTTCAGTGATTGGTAGGCATGTTGGCTGGGGTAGGTCCCTGGCTGGGGTGGGGAGAGACAGCAGGCTACATTCCAGTACAAGGTGAGTGATTGCTGCTAAGCCAGGTATAGAAATCTGTGTTTTGTGACTTACTCAGAAGTGGGAAATACCCATTGTTTAACACTCCTCAGACAACGACTCATTATGAAATAGCTTCCTACTTCCCTTTGTGGAATTTTATGTGAACATCTTAGGGAAAATGAAATTTTCTCTGATTTCAGTAGAGGTCAGATAATGCGTTGGCTGCAAACACTATCAGGCTTAGGTACCAGCTATCTATTCAAAAAAAAAAAAAAAAAACTTGGAAATTTAACTAAATTTCAGCATATCATTGGTGTTTATACAAGAGGCACTTAACCAAAACAAATCATGTCTCTGGAGGATTTCCTTCTTCTTTTACACACAAACTTTACCCAGTATGAGTATTTATTTTTAGATCCTTTTAATATAGTTCTCCTTTTATAGATAGAATGCAGCTTTTATTTCCTGATTGAGGGACTATGCTATATCTCTAAAATTAAAGGTAAAGTAGGATGCAGGAAGGGTGAAAATAAAACAACAAAACCCCAGCTATCTGCTCCCCTGTGTATATACATGATGTGGTTTTCAGACACTATTCCAAAGAGGAGAATAGCCACCAGGTGCTTAAAATGGGAAATAATTAGCCTTTCAGAATCCACTACCTTTTGTTTTATTTGGTAGTTTTGCTGACTAAATGGCTTTAGTGCTCTGTTTTAATGTGTCTTTGTGAATTGTGTGACAACATAGTATCATTGAAATAAATATCTCTAATACTATTTATAATTTGCTCTATCAAACAATCTTTTGTTTTGCCAGATATATACACATATGTATGATATGTAAACACAGATAATAATGTGTATATAGATATAGCTATGCATGTATAGTTTCTCTGTAGTTGGGAAAGATAAATGGCAATGCAATAAGAAAGATTAAAATAAAGATAAATGTCTCTAACATTTTTTCATGTGTGGTCATAAATGCAACCTAGAAAAATGCCTATGAACTTTAAACATTTATATTTTCCTTAATTTCTATGACCCAATAGCAAGGATAAATCTTCACAGAACTGAGTTTTTCTTTTTTATAAAAATTTGAACATCTTTTTTAATTATCAAAGACAAAATTACTTTAAGTGTAATTTTATATGGATTACACTATTTGAATTGTTAACAAATTGATAGTCCAAATGTAAAATTAAAAAAAACCCAAATCAACCAAATATTACCTGTTTATCTTGAAATATCTCTATTCTCAGGTTACTATTATCCACTTATTATTATTATTATTATTATTATCTCAATAGACTTTTCCATTTTGTTGTCCAAAGCCATTTTATTTCCCAGCCGTCACAGGCAGGATTGGCAAACAAACATGAATGAAGAAAATGCGGCTTTAGGAAAGTTCTGTAAGTTTTTCCCAGGGACAAACTGTGGTTTTCTGATAGAAGATGACAGTTGCTCAACTTGCCAAGGATCAACAATTAAACCGCAAAGAAGAGCCTCATTTGAGCAGTTCTGTCAAATCCAGGCTCTCAGCACCACTCAGCACTTATTACCCAGGAAACTAATCAAACTTAGCGTCATTGTAGGAAAGGAAGGCTCTCAGAAAGGCTCTCAGACGAGTCCCTTGGAAACAGAGGTTGTGTTATAAACCCCTCTGATTAATGGAATCGTTTTACTTGATGAAATCACGATGAATCCTGAAAAAATGAATACTTTGCAACAAAGAAAAGCCACCAAGAATAAAGGTAAAGGAAGAAGGAAGAGGAGGAGAAAAACAGTCTATCGGCTTTCAGGGTAAAAGCAGAGACTAAAGGACATTGGAAAGGTTTTGGCTTTTCTTATTCTATCGTATCGGTCTGAATATTCATTACTTACTGTGAGTAGAAACAGTCTTCAGTCTAGGACCAGCACTTCTGTAGCTTCTTATTCTTATTGGATGCCTTTACTCACCTTCCATGGGGGTGTTGCTGTCTGGACGGTTTGCAAAGACCACGTCCACATATTCCAGTTGCAGCCTCTGGAGGGAGCCTTTGAGTCCTAGAGGCAGAAGTAGAAAACAGAAGAAAGTAGCAAAAGGCCCGAGTAAGTCCAGATAGCAACACTGTTAGGAAGGGCTTGAATTTAATTTCTTTCAAGAATTTCTTAAAAACAAACACTGAATTAGTTACAAAAATCTTCTGAAAAGGGCATAGCGAGACCATAGCAGTAATTATTTACCCACAGAAACTCAATCTGAGTTATTTATGGATGAATAACCTCCACAAGATTTAAGGAACCAGATGAGAGATGATAGCATCTAGTTTTTAGTGTAATAGTGCAAAGAGATGGTTGAGAAAGCTGGAGGGAAATCCACAAATGCAACAACCAAACAGTGCAGAGCAGTAGTTCTCAACCTTCCTAAAACTTCTACCCTTTAATACAGTTCCTCATGTTGTGGCCACCCCCCAAGCATGAAATTGTTTTTCTTGCTACATCATAACTTTAACTTTGCTACTGTTGTGAATCATAATGTAAATATTTATGTTTTTTGACGACCTTAGGCAACCCCTGTGAAAGGGTCATTTGATTCCCCCACGGGAGTCATGACCCACAGGTTGAGAAATGCTGATTTAGAGCAAGATGCCTTCCCTTGGGAGGGGAAATTAACGCCTTAGACTTGGACCCAGTACCAATATCACTAGGGCCCTGTACTAAAATGGCCCTTGCTCCCAGGCTACTGTTCACAGAGTTGCTGGCTCTACCCCAGAGGAGGGAAAGAGCCTCTGATCTTGGTGCAATGGACCTGGATTCCCACCTCCACAACTGCTAACTGCGGTCAGAACTATACAAGTTCTAAAGGCTGTAACTTTAGATGTGACACAGCTCAGCACCAAACTTGCTAGCCAAAGGATTGCCTTCAGTATTCACCCTCAACCTCAGGCAACAAATTCAGAGATTTTATGTGCAAGTCGCCTAAAGCAGAAACAGGTGAACTTTAACTTGAAACTTGGTGCTGGGGCTATAGATTTCTCCCTGCAGCTAGAGTCCAAGAACAGCAGGCAGAAGCTGGCATGTCACATGAGGTACAATTGTGTTCCAGTTAGCATCACCCACATCTGGTTGCAGTGGTGTCAGGCCAATGATGGACCACAACACCAGACAGGCCAGAGAAGCATAGTTACACTGGTCTCAGCAAGGTGAAGTCTCCAGATTAGACCCAGAACTTGACCATTTGACTGGATCCTCTGTGGTGAGACTCAGGGCTTAGCAGAATCCTACTATTATTCGTGACTGCAAGCTTGTGATTGTAGATTAGGTGTTTGGTCCTACCTTGTTTCAGATGAAGCCTAATTGATCCATCGAGGTTGGATTACCTTTTCTGGGCAGTCCCCAATCTATCGTGTACAGCATACAATTGCAGACTTGTAACAAACCTAAGCTAGGGATGCCATCTTTCACAAACAAAACAGCAGTGCTAGTTTGGGAGTTATGGGGACTAGCACTGCCTAGTGTTGGAACAGTGGCAATGACCACAGGCTCCTGAACAAATAGCTTACTTAGAATTCCTGGAAGACCAGGCACCCTTAAATGCAGATAATAAAAACTGGAGTAAATGCCTGGTATTTCAAGGCCTAGATGCTGTCACATACTAACAAGTATCAAGAGCTTCCAGGGAACTGTAAGATGCCAGAACCTAATGATGAGGTGACATATATGTGTGCCCTCTTGGACAAGAATTCAAAACAGTGGTTTTATGGAAACTTAATGAACATCAAGAAAATACAGAGAAGCTGGGCATGGTGACACATGCCTGCAATCTCATGCTTGGGATGTTGAGGCAGGTGGATTGCAACTTAGAGGCCAGTCTGAGTTACATACTGAGATCCTGTTTTGTGGAATAGACAGCTGAGAGTGGGAGAAATAGTCTTCCCCAGGGAAGAGCACACCGAGTGGTTAGCCAATACCAATGGTCAACCCTGAAAATACACATACAAGTAATGTTGTATAGGTTGTATTTATGAATGAAGGAATATATGTATATATGTATATATGTGTGTATGTTTGTATGTAAAAATGAATAATGAAAAAATAAAGGCCATGAAATTGAACAAGGTGGGATACACTCCAGGGAGGAAAGGGAAGGGAGAAATGATATAATTATAATCTCAAAAGATAAAAGAAACATGTTTTTTTAAGCCACAAATGATTAGGGGTGGAAAAGGTAATAGAGACAACCTACTGAAACATGGTCCTTAAAGACACAAGAGAACCTGTTGGTAGTAGCAAATGCCTTCTATCCCTGCACTCAAGAGGTAGAGGTAGAGTTTCAAGGCCAGCCTGGTCTACAGAGTGAGTTCTAAGACAGCCAGGGCTACACAGGGAACCTACCTTGAAAAACAAACCCCAAACAAACAAACAAACAAAAAAACACAAGCAAAGCAATTCAATAGTCATCAGGCAACCTTACTACAGTAAGTAAAGTTTTAAAAAAATGAAACAAATCTCAGATCTGAGAAGCACAATAAATGAAATGAAGATGGAATTGAAGGATCCATAGCAGAATCCATTTAACAGAAGATTCAGCCAACTTGAAGACGAGATATTTGAATATACCTAGGGGAGGCAGGGATGAAGAGGCATGAAGAATGCTCGCAGGATCTTAAGAGCAAGCGTCATTAAAAGAACAGATACTCAGTTTGGGGGCTTCAACAAGAGCTTTAGAACCCAGAGTTAAACTTTTATGAAAAGTAACAAGGGAGTGGGGTGATGGCTCAGCAGCTGATAAGGCTTTTCTGCTCTGGCAGGGCACCCCACTTCAGTTCCCAGCACAATAGCCTGTAACTCTATCTTCTGTCCTTGAGCACACCTCTGCACACACACGAGGCATCTACTCACACAGACAGAAATACATACACATACATTTAAAAAGAGATACAAATAGATTCATAAAAGATATAACAACCTGAATAGTGGTGACTGTGTGGAGAAAAAAGTGACAATCCAGTGCTCAGGCCCAAAGAGGACATCTACACCATCTTTTTAATGTTCAAGGGTCATTGTAGAAAGAGGGGTCAGAAAGAACACAAGAGCCAGAAAGGCTGTGAAATGTTAGCTTCTGGGTATGACACAGTCAATGCGACCATGATGACATAGCAACTGTGGTCCCCTCCACTGGACTTGTAGACATCAGTTAAACACCCATGAGGGTGGGGTTCATGGGCCCTGCCCCTCCCTGCTGAACTATTGGCTACTGGTGGACCTTGGGGGAGGCTCAGCTATTATATTTAGTAGTACATCCATGTGTGACTTCCAATGTGTGATCAGTTCCAAGTGCATGATTTCACGATTGCCCTGGTTAAACTCAGTATGTCATAAAACAAAACAAAAACACATGAATTCAAGAAAGAGACTTGCAGGAAAGAGGGGAGACAGACAGGAGTGAGAGGAAGATGGGAGACAGGGAAAAGAGAGTAACTAGAATGTATTATGCACATGTAAACAATTGTCAAAAATGCTTTTATTAAAATGTATAATAAAAACTAATTCTATAAGAATAAACATGATTTACACATACATAATGAAGGAAAATGTTTGTTCACTATCCATCTGATTAAGGATATCAAGAATATCAAAGACACTCAACTCAATAGCAAATAATTATCATCACCATTATCATCATCATTATCATGATTCAATTATGAAATGGGTAATGGGCTGAAATACACACTTTTTCATCTTTTAAAATTTATTAATTAGTTTTTTACATTCCAATCCCAATTTCCTCTCCCTCCTCTCCTCCTGCTCCCCACACTTCTCCCCTACAACCCTACCTCCCACCTCCCACCTGCCTCTCTCTCTCCAATGCTGGGATTAAAGATGTGTGCCACGATGTCTGCATGAACAAGGCATTCTCCAAATATGTGCAAGTTTTGTTAAAAATTTTAATTAAGAATATGAAAAATACATTTAATACAATATATATTAGTTAATCCCTGGAACTGCTAAATTATATTAAAAGCTGACTTTGCTTCAACAAAGAAAATCTCAGGCCTCTCTCAAGATGGCTAGCACTCTCAGTGGGAACTCTGCAAGCCTGGTAATGACCTTCTACAGTGACACTTGTGGCCATAACTGGGAGCCAAGTTTAAAATAAAAAGCAGTTTCTTTCCAAGATTCTTTTTGCTTCTTTGTATATAATTCAGGAAAAAAAAGACTGCCTTAACTCCACTAAATGATTGTATGTTTTAACAGTCATATCAATAAGAAAGCAAATAAAGGATATGTTCAATACTTACTAATTCCATCAAAGTTTAGAAAAAACTAAAAGATGTGGTCACTCTACATCCTTTAAGTGATCCCTTACTCTTTCTCCATCTGTGATGCTGGGTCTTGAACCTAGGGCCTTGTGGATGCTAGACAAAGGGTCTGTGACCGAGCTCCATCTCCACTCATCCTTTTACTTTTCACTATGAGACAAGTTAGCTAGACTGGCCTTGAATGTGAAGTCCTGCTGCCTTAGCCTCTAGGTTAGCTGGGATTACATGCCTGTACCCATAAATGCCAGAAGCCATAAGGATGTAAGGTGTAATTGAGTGAAACTCAGGAAATCTGGAAGCAATAGCTTATGTTTCCATCTTAAACATTTGGTCAAATTCGTAGGAGTATTCAGGAAAAATTAATTAATTTCACTAATATTAATACTTTTCCACAACTAGAGTGTATTATATATAATATTATGCAACTAAAAGGAGGGCAGTGTTCAGGGAACTGTTTTATCTCATTCCCATGAGGCACAGCAGTGCCTTATCAGCCTCTTTAATCTCTCAGGAAGATGGAAGGTTTTCTCTTTTTATTATAAGCATAAAATTAATTGCCTGTTAAATGAGGCCCTTATAAATTTAAATTTGACTCATTTAAGTTTGATTTTCAAGCTAGTTTATCGGATAACCACTATTACTTTTTGGACAGAAAAATGGAATGCTGGACTAGAGCCCTGGAAATATTTTCCATTCATTGAGAAAGGGTGGTCTGTGGTGGCTCCCGTTAGAAGCTTTGTC